TTGGTCAGAGTTTTGAGCTGCAGACTGTAACTCACTGCATTCACTGCTGGCTGGTGAGCAAGTAAAACATGTAAAGAGACAAATTATTGGGATTTTTGTCTTGGTGATTCTTTATGACGATGAGTGTTTCAAACTTATCTTTTAATTGATTTTGTTCGATATCCTTGAGGATCAACAAATGTTCCTGTAGATATTAACTGTAGATATCTGGAATTGAAACCTCCATGAAACATAATAGTAAATCTGACGTCATTCATACTTTTCAGAATTTTCAGAATTCAAGTACATGTTTTGTCTAGTCATAGTGTAGATACATATCTAGTCATAAACTAATTTCAGATATTGGCTACTGGTACAAAAGGTTAAAGGAGACAGAGAAACTGTTCAATAAACTGGAGAAGGATTGATTATTGTTTTTATATCTTTATTGAAAGTCCAGCAGCGTTTAAAGACTCTCCAACTGAAACTAGTCAGAGGCAGAGAACTGATATGAGATGCACACAGTTATCTTTATACGTCACATTTCAACACCTCCTGCCTTCACTGCACACAAATGTGATAAAGATGAACGAAGGAAAACCGACTTCAGTAGCAGAAAACTGGTCAGTATGTGGAGATGCAATCATAGCAAACAGCTGCTGAACACTTCCTGATCTCGGTGGATTCAGCCACATTGTTGTGACTGTTTATAGTTTTGGTGCGGTATGCGTTGAATATTTGCTCTTGTATGCATGAACTGAGTAAAAGAATTTAACAGAATCAATTAAAATTTTCTATTACAATGGCAGAAGATGTGGCTGTGTGGAGGCACCGAGTCTCCAGAGATTTTGTTTTCTCTGTATCTGTGGCTTTTGTACAATTTTCCTCATGATCTGAAGATAAATTGGACCTGAACTCAGAATTACCAAAATGATTTATTTGCTAAATGCCAGAACACATAGCAAAAAGGTTTATAATACGTTTTGACTGATTTTCACACATTAAATCAAAATCAAATCAAATTTTATTTGTATAGCACATTTCAGCAGCAAGGCATTTCAAAGTGCTTTACATCATAACAAACAGAGTCATGTAACATTGAATCAATAATCAAAAACAATAGACACAAAAAAAATAGAGTAATTTAAATGTATCAAGGGATTAAAGTGAAGTATTCATAGTTTGACTTAAAATGAAAAGCTTTTTTGTGTTTTGGTCCAGGTCTCCATCAATGCTGCGTGTGTAAAGAGGACAGGGTTCTCAATGAGCTCAGCAACCAGGAGGGGAACTTCACTTTAAAACAAGAGGAACCAGAACCTCTGCAGATAAAACAGGAACCAGAACCTCTGCAGATAAAACAGGAGCAAGAAGAACCAGAACATCAACAGTTCAAAGAGGAAGAGAAGCAACTCTGCATCAGGCATGATGAAGAGCAGCTTGTGCTGAAACAGGAGACTGATGACATTTTGGTAATTCCTTCCAATGTGCCAAAAACCCACAATGAAAGAGAACCACAGATGAACCAACTCATCTCTCATGGCTCCGCTGAGGATGAGAACCAGGATCAGGAAGGAAGCAAATCTGAAGACCCAAGAAACAGAGATGAGAAGCAGAAACGAAATGAAATATGTCAGAAAACCATACAGCTCAAAAGCACAACTGAGAGTTCAGAACAAAAAACATACGAGAAAGTTCACCCAGACCAAAAGCTATATTCCTATGAAATTTGTGATGAATCTTTTAATAAGGCAAGTTTATTGACAACACGCATGAGAACTGACACGGACAAAAAGCCCTTCACATGTTCAACTTGTGGAAAAAGTTATGACCACAAGGCTGGATTAATTTATCATATGAAAGTTCACTCAGGTGAGAAACCTTTCTCATGTACAAGCTGTGAAAAAAGGTTTACCAGTAAAGTAAATTTAACTGATCACATGAGGATTCACACAGGTCAGAAGCCTTTCTTATGTGGGACTTGTGGAAAAGGTTTCTATCGAAAATATATTCTAACTGGTCACATGAGAATTCATACAGGTGAGATGCCATTCAAATGTCCAAGATGTGGGAAAAGTTTCAGAAACAGTAGTTGTTTATATCGTCACATGAAGACGCATACAAATGAGAAGCCTTACTCTTGTGGAACCTGTGGAAAAAGGTTCCGTCAAAAAGGCACTTTAACTCGTCACATGAAGACTCATACAGATGAGAGACCTTTCTCATGTGGGACCTGTGGAAAAAGTTACAAAATCAAAAATGATCTAATTGGCCACATAAAGACACATACTAGTGAGAACTTTTTCTCTTGTGAAACCTGTGGAAAAAGGTTCAGTCTGAAAAACCATTTAACTTCTCACATGTGGACTCATACAAGTGAGAAGCCTTACTCTTGTGGGACCTGTGGAAAACGTTTCCATGAAAAAAGGTTTATAAATGATCATATGAGAACTCATACAGGTGAAAAGCCTTTCTCTTGTGGGACTTGTGGAAAAAGTTTCCATCAAAAAAACATTTTAACTTCTCACATGAGAACTCATAGAGATGAGAAGGCATTTTCTTGTGGGTTTTGTGGAAAAAGTTTCTGTTATCAAAGCAATTTATCTAGTCACCTGAGAATTCATTCAGATGAGAAACCTTTCTCATGTGAGACTTGTGGCAAAAGTTTCCGCTATCAAAACAGTTTAACTCGTCACCTGAGGACTCATACTGGTGAGAAACCGTTTTTATGTGGGACCTGTGGAAAAGGATTCAGTCATCAGAGCAATTTAACTCGTCACATGAGAATTCATACAGATGAGAAGCCTTTCTCATGTAAGACTTGTGGAAAGGGTTTCCGTCTAAATAGCCAGTTAACTGTTCACTTGAGAATCCATGTGGGTGAAACAGCAAAATCTGACCCTCGGGTAACAAGACTCTCAGTAACTTAGTGTTTGGAAGCAGAGTAATTACAGCTGGGTAACATTTCTGTAATGTATCAGCTTGGAGAAGAAAAGAGTTTAAAACAGGACGTTTATTTAAAACACTAAACTTTCACTTTATTCTGTCAGTTTTATCTTTCCATTTAAAATGATTTTAAAGTGAGATATTAAGAGCTTACAAAGTTATGCATGCATTTTAATGTTTTTTCTGATCTAATGAAATATTAATAGTCTGTCTCTTGAAGTAACAATGGGTTTGAATGTTTTCAGATTTAGACTTGTAAAGCTGTTATTGTATGTCTATTCCTTGTACTTCTACTTTGTTTTATTTCATTCATTTAGCTCAGGATGCATGTTAGCTGTTACTATAGGAACTATTGGNAAACGCTTCAATACACATTTCCTAAAAATCCTCCTGGTTTATTCGACACTCGCCCCTATATGGAGGTAAATATGTGAATATTTGCTGTAAAATGTCTTCAGTTCCGCCTCATACAGAGTTTATCAACGAGCTGTTAACTCCTGCTGAAATATCATTCACAGAGTTGGAAGAAATAACCGTCAAGTCCGAGGAAAAGATGGAGGATCAGCGCAGACTGCTGGATTTTAGCCGGATACCGAAGATCATCTTACACCGGATAGGTACGAAACACCTTCACGTTTTACTGGTGATATGAGGCACGAAAGCGGAGAAAAGCTGGAGGAAAAACACGAGACAGATTAAAGGAAACGATATGTGAGACCGAATTAGGATGAATATTTTACAGAATGAAATAAACTGATAAGACAGAAACGGTGCACTGGTTGGACAACGTTTGCTGTGGCAGGCAGTTCTATCATTAAATGGGCTTTACCAAACTTTCATTCTATTAGATATGTTTAAACAATATTATTATGTTTTTGTCCAGACAAACTATGTCTTTGAGATATATTTAATTACATCCTGACTAGAATAAATCATACATTTAAGATGTTTGGTGGTTTCAGTTCAAGATATCTACAGTGTATTACTATCTGAAGCTCATATTTCATATAATCAAATTAAGACTAGTCAAAGTAAATGTGAGATATTCCACTTTTTGTTCTGACTAATAACAATTCAAATCCAGAAGATAAGCAACACCATTGTTCTGTCTATGGGGTTTGCAGAGCTGGGAAACCAGCATATAAACATGTTACAAGTAAATGAGACGAGTTCTTGTCTTGGTCAGAGTTTTGAGCTGCAGACTGTAACTCACTGCATTCACTGCTGGCTGGTGAGCAAGTAAAACATGTAAAGAGACAAATTATTGGGATTTTTGTCTTGGTGATTCTTTTTGACGATGATTTTTCCTAACATATCTTTTAATTTATTTTGTTCGATATCCTTGAGCGTCAACAAATGTTCCTGTAGATATTAACTGTAGATATCTGGAATTGAAACCTCCATGAAACATAACAGAGACCCTTGCAGTGCGGTTTATTAACAATGGAAAAACAAAAAGCAATTTTTCTTTTTCTCCTTTCCCCCTAAAAAACGTAAACAAGCAAAGCTTAGCCGGGCAGGTAAAGGTGATACTCTGAGGGAAACCCTGCTTCAGTGGAGATAAACTGAGCCTGATTGAACATAATACCCTGGTGGTCACATGC